GAGGGCAGTGCTTCCAAATTAGCCGCAGAGGCTGGAGTTTCACCTTCACCGATTCCCAGCAGTATGCTGCTGACAAAATGCGGCATCACTCCATCCATCCATCGCTTGCAGCATCTGGTCCCAACGACACTCCAGAACCCCAAACAGCCATAGCAATTCTGTTTGCCTCCCCCGACCAAGGCATGAAGGATTGCAGTAATCTTATCCCAAATCTGGATTGATTCCGGGTTTCTCTGCTTCCGCTTGGCTAGTGTCATGCCACATCTGGGGATACCCTGGTGCCCGCCAATGGTGTCGAGGGTTTCTTTGCCGGGGAGATGCGCCTTGAGGGTGTTCCGGATTTCTTTGCCTGCGGAAACTGCCGGTTTAGTTCATATAGAGCAGAACATTTGCATCCTCACGCCGTTCCCAGGTGCTGGCGCTGGTCCCCGCACTTCTGCTGGCGGCAGTCCCAGCTGTTGGGTCAGATTTGGCTTCAGAGATTCTGAGGGTTGTTGTGCTTTATTGCAAAAGGAGTACTACGGTGGCTTTCGCTTTAGGCACTGTGTCCCGAACCTGATTGGGATAAGTTACATCAAGTTGCATTGTACCATCTTTCTGGCAAAACATGAATCGGAAAGCCCCGCCCACTATGATTAAGCCGTTTACTATGTAAGGCTTGGGCAAGAAAATGCCTGGCTGCGATTCTAGTTGTTACAAGGTAATAACACTTACCCTTTCGTTCTAGGCACGACACTGGAGTTGATGAGGTTAGTCACCGAGAGGGCGGAACATGCTTGGTGGGCCGTGACATTGAATACCAAATCTTGACAGCCTCCTCGTGCCTTCCCCTCCCACGGTTGCCACATCCTGGAGCCGTTGCGGTTGAGGCCTGGACGATGCAGCGGGCGCTGCTCAACGTTTGGGACGGAGAAGGCTGCATTTGTTTGGGCTGCTTGAATTGACGGTGTAGTCACATAGTCAAGTCAGGATTTGGGTTTCAGCACAGACTGCTGCCCGAAGCTATACTATAGGGTTTGGGGCTGGTTTCGCGGTGCAGGGTTTCGCGGCTTGAATTCTGCAGCCCACTCAACAAACCCGTACAGAGGCAATCCCTTACAATGATGCTGTATAGTAACGACCGAGAAGCCATTCCTCGAAGCCAACCCAGCAAAGGTCCTTTCCGGTTCGGTCTTCAGGACTTCAATCCACACACTGGCCTGTTGAGGAAGTTTTTTGTTGCAGGAAGCTTTACATTGTCAGTTTCGGGGCTTTAGGATGCTGGGGTTCGCGACATCAAGTTGGTAAGCAGGGAATCATGTCGAGGGCGCTGAAGGAGATTTCCCGTGCGGTTCTCTGGCTGAAGGCTGCAGCAGGCGGAGTTGAAGGGGCATGGACCCAGAAGGTGTGGGTGAGTAGTGCCAAGCTGCAGTAGTGGATTTGAGGTCCGATCTCTCTTAGCCTGCTTCTCGGCAGATAGCGACTTCCAGGCCAGTTTAGGCAGTAGATAAGATTCATGCTCCACTAGACAAGCACATAAGGCGACAAGTGAGGGCAAATAGGCTTCTGCATCATGGCTTCCGCGCCATCGTCTGCTGATACTGGTGCCATTGGCCCATCGGCGCCCCGTCTGATCGATGGTTTCACTGTGGAGGAGTGGCTGCAATGGATCAGCGAACAAGGCGGGAGGGACGAACACGGCAGGGCGAGGTTCATCTGCGTCAATAAGGACGACTAGCTGAATAGCAGATTAACTATTCGGGCAGGGGTCGTGGTTGCCCATCTGGCAGGGATCCTGGACGATGTGCTGCCACCCGCAGACGAGAGCGAGACAGGCTCGGCAGCGATACCGACGGGAACGGTTGGTTGCGCAAGCCATAGGACTGTGGGGTTGAGGGGCAACCGCACAGTGTGCTTTACTAAACCTGGGGAACCCGACAACACTCGTCTACCCTGCAGATGACTCGGCGGCTCCTGGAGACAGTGCCGCTGCTGTTCCTGCGAGGGCTGCGGGCGGCAAGAGGAAGCGTTCAAAGCCTCTTTGCCGAACCGGGCATCAGTGGAGCTTACTAAGATTCGGAGCAACAGATAGATATGGTTGATTTCGATGTCGCTTGGAATGCTTTCGAATAATGAATCATCGGAGGTCCTCTCGGCATGGACCGCATCGACAGAAGCGAAATGCCAAAAGGCAAGGCTTGATCGCGGAGCAGTCTCAGCTTCTGGCGAGCATGGCCAAGCGTCTGGATCAGCAGGAGGTCGAGTATGACAAAACCTTCTCGAAGAAGGAGATGGCGGCCGAGGCCAGGGTGATCAAATTCCGAGGCCCTAGTCTTATTACGGAATTGAGCTTCGGTCGTTGCAACTTTCATCCCTGCAGGCAATCCATCGCCAAAAGCTGCACAAGATGATGGTCCAGAAAGACAAGGAGATCCAGCAGTTGAAAGAGGAGCATCGGCGGCAGCTCCAGGAGACTGGCGTGGACGACCTGAGGCGGCAGGTCCGCAGACTCGAGAAAGATAATGCCTCGCTGCGGAAGGAGAATGAGCGGCTGGAGGCATCGCTCAGCAAGTCTTCGACATTGGAGTCTGAGCTGAAGCACGAGCGTGAACGAGCTGACAAAGCAGAGGCGAACAGGGAGTCCGATAGGCTGGCGCACTTCAACTTGCGGAACACTTTGCACGGCAGGATCGAGAGCCTTCTTAAGAACTTGAAGGAGGTCGCGCTGTGGAAAGCAGAGCAATGGCAGCGTGACGTGGACCGGCAAGAGCGGCAGCTCGATGAGGCCGCCGCGCGAGGGACAGCCTCTGCAGGGTCGTCGAGGCCGTCCAGGTAGGACTGCAAGACCTCATCATCAACAACATCAGCAGCAGCAGCAGCAACAACAACAGCAACAACAGCAGCAGCAGCAACAGCAAACAGCAGCAACGGCACAGACGGCCTCGCGGTAATGCACGTTGTAGCAGGCTCTTTTTGTGCAGCACCATCCATAAAGATCCCCAGGCCCTGGCTATTCAAAGTCGAAGTTACCTATGATCGGGAAATATTCTTGAACTCCATTATTCGTGGGCCCTAAAACCGAAATCTATACCTCTTGTGTCCTGGGCTTACAATACTGCACTAGCAGGTCTTGAACATTAGGTCATCGTGTGCTGCGAAAGAGCTTTCGGCTGCCTTCTTAAGCTCTACGACCGCAGGGCATGCGCCACGGAAACAAAAGGATCGCGATTATCACTGTGGCCGTCTCTCGAAGTGCTTTTGCCTTTCGCACACAGTTTGATGTTGCCTTCCGTGCAGGCCAAACTTCTGAGCACGACTTCTTTGCCAGCGGCCCAGAGTCCGATGTTCAGAGGCTTGCGAGAATTGAGTCTCAACTTTTTCTCGAGCCTTTGAGAGCCTCAGGTTATGTTGGGGTTGTGAAGCGAGCCATTGAAGCCTTGAACAAACAAGATTGGTCCCCAGTCAGCCCCCGAAGACTGTATCGCCATGTGGTTCGGGCAGTGCGGAGCAATCTTTCACAAGCCTAGCCACGGCCCTGAATAAGGGCCGTCATATTGTACTTTACACACTACACACATCCACTGCGTCCTGCCTTTTTTTTTTTGATCTTGAGGCCTTCCTACTGACTCCTCCCGCAGCCGGCGGCTGCTCCTGGAGATGCAGGCCTTTAGCATTGGATCCCCTTGGGTCGGAAGGTTGCTGAGAATTTCCCAGGTTTTGTATACTGAGTTGAAGTTTCCGGCTCTTCAGACTAGAAAACACTCATTCACTATAGTATTCTCCATACATGATTTCTCCAATACACAAGGGATTCCGATGCTTGTACTATACTGAATGGGGTGTTTTCTATACTGAATAGATCAAGCCCGGCAGCCAGTATACAAAACCAGCGGTCCAGTATAGGATGTATACGGCTTTCCTTTTTCACTCAACCAAACCATTGATTCCGTTTTACAAACCATCAGGTTGAGCCATGTAACTCAAATCCTATACTGAAACGCTGGTTT